GATCAAAATACGTTTTCCAGCTAATATACCCCTTCGGGAAGCAAATTTAAGAAGGAAAACTATTACCCCTTCAGGGTATTACCAAAAACTATAAAAAAGACAACTATTACTTCTAATAGCTAGAAAAAGAGTAATCATTGGATTGCCTTCCACCATAGAAAGAACAACCATTAGGACAACTTTCTATAATAGATAGCAAGTAAAATACATCACAACAGAGCTTATAGAGCACTTAGTTCTGATTCAAAAAAAAAAAAAAAATAGAAAAAATATACAACTCTATTGAATATGTTCTCAAATCTAATTCATTTAGAAAAACGTGGAACAAGCATAAAAAATAAAATAATTTATTTATAAATTAGAAGTAATATTCTTCATTTTCCAAGTTTCGCATAGTTCAATCGTTCAACGCAATCGTTCAACGTTTCGCTGAACAATCTTTGAAACGGGCCATAAACTATGGTCAGGCATGTTACATGGCCGCGGTCTAAGTTTAGTCTACTGGTTAATTGCCTTCGAACGCTTAATTTACAATGCACAGGTATCGTAATAGTAAAATATAAGGTTCTTTGTTGTGTAGACATGACTGCATATGTAATAATTAATAACTGAATAACAATATATTACAAGCCTATAGGAATGTTTGTGTCAGCGTTCTGATGTTTATAACAATACTGCATTCCGCACTGAACATGCTATATATGTGCGACGTTGCACATTTGCGATAGGAGGAAAATTGCATATAAAGTCACGTTAGTAAATGAATTATGGGATCTATATCAAGATACGTGATATAAAAATTCCATTTTATTAAGCTCTAAATATTTTTATAAGTTTAATAAACCTCACTATACATGCATGCCCTTAAATTCTCCATCAGCTATCCTTAAACGCATCTAGATTCTAGGCATTATCTCGAATATTTTGCAAATACCCTAATCCAAAATCTGAAGCTCCTATTTTTTCTTAAACTTTACAATCACCTGTAGGACTAATTACCATCTGTACAAATTATTTTATTCTTAACTTCATTTAGGTATGATATTTTTGTATTATATTTAAATTAGTCTTAAATATTATCATATATTATAAGTCCTAAATAAACTGATTATCATATATTAAAGGTATTGAGTGTTCCATGGTTAAGCTCGCGGACTCATGTCGACGGGGTCGTGTGTTCGAATCCAGCTCTAGACAACCTGATATCGTGTAGTTCACTTCATCTCACATTATTCTCCTTGCCCTAACGTAGACTACCTACATTATAAGACCTACGTATATTATAGGATTACCTACTCATAAGTATTATAATAATTGAATTTAATTGCAATTATTCTGTGGACTATGGAATAAAATAAATCAATAATGATTTCTATTAAAAAAACTAATAATCTGTCTTTTTTCTTAAAGCTTGTATTAAATATAAACTTTTTTTTTAAATATAAACCAAATTAATAATTTTTTCCACTAGATGATAATAAAGTCCCAAAAAAAAACTGAAATCAACAACTTCGATTCGCTGGGACATATAGACAACTTTTTACTATAAAAGCTTTCTGAAATCAATCTACAAGGAAGTGACTAACTTTAACCAACATTCCAAAGTTCAGTAATATTATAAATAAACTTGTCACACTGTGTAATATGTCCATCACAAATATTTTTTTTCAGTTCCACGATTTAGTTACTTCACAATGGTATTTTGAAGAAAAAACATCATTGAAATAAGACATAGATTTGCAAAACATAAACAAGTCCAGCTGTGTATATAAAAAGTATAATATATTCAAGTTTTTCTCATTACTGGCAGAATGATCATTATTACGTACGACAAAAATCTTACCTGTATAAAAACGTCATCGAGATATTACTTACATATTCAAAGATAATAAAATGTTAAAATTAAGTATAAGAAAATATATTGTTGAATACTATGTGTGATTGAATATAATTGCAGGAAGCTCGTGTAAGTGAACAAAATTATGAAAATTTATTTAAATTGACAAACTAAACGCAACTATTTTTAGTCACGATTTAAAAAATAATTTATCATAATAATTGAGTACCTACCACTGAATGATATAGACGATTTAATATTCTTTACACAGAAAGAACTAATATTTCATAAAAAATATATTGATAATAGTTAGAAAAGCGTTTATGCATAAAATTTATGGAACTTTATTCAAATTGATTAAAACATCAAAATAAAAAAAAAACATTTTAAGAGACGATTTAAGAATTATTTGGTTGTAGGAATCGAGTAGGACTAAATATTATTGAATATAATAGTAAGAGAACCATTTGTAAAAAATATGATTATATCAATCAAAATCCAAATCAATAATAAAGCTATTTTAAGATACGAATTGTTTGATTATTAGAGTCGAGTAGCTCTAGAGGATTTGGTTATTTAAATATTTTAAATAAACTAATATAAATAAATTTCAATTGCCAATAAGAATATTTGATCTTAAGAATCTGGATAATTTATAGGATTAAGTATTATTTTTAAAATAATGAGTAGTCATTGATGCAAATGAATTTCAATTGTTTATAAGAATATTTGATCATCAGAATCGAGTACTCAAAGTTGACTTGTTTGAAATAACTGATGTAAGTTGTTTATTGACTTTTTTTAATATGAGACGAATAGAGACAAATTTTTGTATGAAGTTTTTAGTATGAGAGGAGAGTAGAGAGCTGTTCAATTTAATCTCCATCATCACATTGACTTACAGAAACTATGTATTCTGATTGAGAATTCATTTTTTTTTTCATTTATTTAAATAAAATAAATTAAAAATGAATTAATGAATTAATCCCAATTAAAAGAAATTATTTCTTATATACTCTTAATAAGAAATATAAAAATTTAATTTATAATTTTTATTTATAACAAATGTATACAAGGTAAAAATGTTTGTAGAATATTCTTATATGATAAGTGAAGCCAAGAAAAAGAAGTATTTTACTGATGAAAACAAATTTAAATTTCCTAAATGATTTACATTTTCGCTATAGGACTACACCACTGTGATGCTGTGCAGACGACCGCGCCCCTTTACGGGAGATAAAACACATGTGCAAAAGCAACAAAGTAAAAATCGAATAAATATAACTGGATACAGTGACTCATTGTTTCAACAATTTGATATCAAAAGACTGTAGAAATTTTCGATACTAATTTAATTTTTTAAAAATATTATTTGATAATATATACATCAAAGAATTTTTAAATTCTGTGTGCATTGATTGATTTGATTGATCTTAGATCTTATATCCCAGTTTTATTTTGTCTCTTTTTTTAGAAGCGTAGTATTCTTTAAGTTTTAAGTTATTGAAGCAAACATAATTAGAAATAATTGGATTTAATTTTTAAATTCGTCTTTTAAAATTTTCTATATATACATTTTAAAACAATCTATGTAAATGATCATATCATCCTAATATTAAAAAAAAAGATAATTTTTATCCTCACTAAAAATATTAAAATCTTTCTTACCGATATAACCCTTTCGATTCGGATGCCGAATAAAATACTTATAAATTCCAGAATTCGCGAGTGGAAAGGGTTAAAATTTGAATCAATAGTACACTCTTATTATGCGATTTTAGGGGCTCAAATCTTACTACATCGTCGTCTTATTTCTATTATTTTTGAGAGTAATCATTGCAAAGCAAAATTTCATATCATCGACAATCATTAAGAAAAGTTATAGTTGCAAAAAGCTATTTCAATATCATTATAGATTATTATAATAATTTTTTATATGACACACTAACTGCAATCGTTAATTACGATCGTTATATCTGCAAATGAATGAATTGCAAAAAGGTTTTTTTCGCAAATTGTTAAAAAATATAAAGGAACTATGATTTGTGATCTAGATATTTCTTATCAATGATTTTGCAAACAAATTAAGGAGGATGAGAAGCCTGGTACTTGTACATGCTGAGAACAAATAGGACAAAAGAGTAATTTTCTTTCGACTGCGATTTATATTTTTCATGACCTACACGTAATGTGATATTCATATGATATTCATGTAATTAGCAAAAGAATAATATCTACGATACGTGATATCTAATTGTAAGTTATATGTCTACAGAAAACGAAACCGCGGGAAATAATTGTACGGTTTTCAATAATATTTATTAGACTTTGTCCCATAAACTATTTATACATAAAACATGGTAAATTGTAGTAAATAATAACCACAGATAATTCAACCTTGTGATTTTAATATATGTCGTACATGCGTAAACGTTAATGACACAATGTCGTTAATATAAAAATATGTATGTATATGAAGATAATTCAATTGTTTCAATAATGCATTCAACTCTCAGAAGAATTTTAAGTCGAAAGACATTTGGATTCAATAAAGTAATTTAAATAAACATAATAATGATAAGCCATGAAATCATTTTAATAATTACCCAGTATAATGATTGCAATTGTAATTGTTATTCATGATGTTGCAATAATTTTTGGGAAAAACAAACATGAAACCAACAAATGCCATAGATATTGCATTGCCGGGCATTTAAACATGTACAGATAAATCTTTATATGGATACATATATGCATAATATTTCAAATGGTGAATGATATAAAGATATAAATGAAAAAATATAATGGGCATCCAACGAGTTATAAAAGAGAAAAACTAAGTTGGGATTAAATTTCTTTAGATATCCATATGTTTCGAGACTCTTCTTCAGTCGACAAAGGGATAAATTATTAACCACAAATGACTAAAAAAAAAAAAACAATAAACACAAAACTTGAATAGCAGCCATATTTGTAAAAATAAGAAAAATATATATTTCATTTGAAAAATTATTTTGAAATTAAATGTAGCCCACAACATGGTGTGTGAAACAAAGTTAGTTTTCTTTTAACTGGATGGACATCCGTTGAAATTTATATGAATATATATATATATATATATATATATATATATATATAATGAATGTATTCAATTACCACTTACCCAAATTATGGACTTGTGGCTCTCCTTTATATATTCGATAGTATATAACATAAGAATCTGGACCCTGCCTTCGTGATAACTTATAAGCAGGTGTGACTCTCGTTACAGACACAAGTGATTTTAACAAAATACCCATACGATTATAAACAGTATATTGAACTCTAACCAATGGGTCACACTGTTCTGGCACTATACCCAAAACCCAAGTTTCAAGAATCATTTGATCACCTTCAAGTGTTCTTAATGATATTTCTATACATATTGGTAGTTTTGCTGTGCCTGCTTCGTTTAGAAGAGCTTTCTTGGCTTCTGCGAGCACATCGGGAATGTCTTGAATTGCAATATTAAACTGAAAGAGAAAAAATAGTTGAAAGTATAAAAGACTCTTATATTTGTTAATAAGTGGCATTTTGAATGAATAATTACAATTGTAAAGAAGTAAATATTTATTTATTTTATTACATAGACCACAGCGTAACTCCTTAAGGACTTACACATATAATTATATAATACAATAAGGTAACAAATGAAGAAGTTACTAATCAATCATTAATGGAAAGGAAATTGGATCGGACCCATTCTGTAAAAGCAGTGCCTTCTACATGGGGTTGTTAAAGGTAAAATAAAAGGACTAAGAGGATTGGGACGAAGAAGCACAGGAGCAGGAAGTATAGAAGCAAAAGTGTGAATAAGAATATTTACATATTTTTTACATGGAACACAGAGTAGCTCTTGAAGGACTTAAACATACAATTGTGATATTACAATAAGGTCACAAATAAAGATGTTATTAATCAATCATTAAATAGAAAGGAAATTAGGACCTATTCTGTAAAAGGAGTGCCTTCCACATGGAGTCGATGATGTTAAAATAGAAAGACTAAGAGGATTGGGACAAAGAAACACAGTAGCAGGAAGTATAGAAGAAAAAGTTTGAAAAAGAATATTTATTTATTTTTTTACATGAACCACAATTAGCTCCTAAAGGAGTTAAACATACAATTATGATATTACTATAAGGTAACAAATAAAGATGTTATTAATCAATCATTAAATGGATAGAAAATTGGATCAGATCAATTCTGTAAAAAAGTGCCATCCACATGGGGTCGATGAAGGTAAAATAAAAGGACTAAGAGGATTGGGACAAAAAAGCACAGGACCAGGAAGTATGGAAGCAAAAGTTTAAAAAGGAAAATTCATAAGAGTGAATAAAAAGTGATTTATGGTTATAATTGTAAAGAAGTGAGTAAATATTTATTTATTTTATTAGCCCACAGAGTAGGTCCTAAAGGAGTTAAACATACAATTATGATATTACTTTAACGTAACAAATAAAGATGTTATTAATCAGTCATTAAATGGGAAGTAAATTGGATCGGACCCATTCTGTAAAAGGAGTGCCTTCCACATGGAGTCGATGAAGGTAAAATAGAAGGACTAAAAGGATTGGGACAAAGAAGCACAGGACCAGGAATTATGGAAAGAAAAATTCATAAGAGTGAATAAAAAGTGATTTATGGTGATGAAATGGTAATGGGAATAATGAACAAGGGAGGGACATGGAATCTTTCATTTGTGGTGCTCTCATACAATGCACCAGCTTTCCAGGCAGACTACTGTTTATTATTATTATTTTAGATAATATGAATAAATTTGCTGTGTCTGCTTCGTTTATGCTCTCATAAGCTCTTATAAGTTTTCTTGGCTTTAGGGAGCACATCGAGAATGTCTTGAATTGCAATATTAAAGTGGAAAAAGGACATTGTCAATGTAAAATTTGCATTTTTTAGTAAGTGTCATCTTACATGGATATGATTACAATGGTGAAGTAATGAATAAATATGAACAAATTTATTTTTATATTTACCCAATCAGTGCCTTGTTGGGGTTTACACTGTGTAGTAACTTTTCTCCAAGCCTGCTCTGCACAATAATCTGTGCAGATTTCAAAGCTAAAAACTTTGTGAATTTATCTAAGTCCTTCTTATCCTGAGCACTTAATTTAACAGTTGCCATTGTTCCACACATCAGCAAATAAAAATCCTGAATATAAAAAATAAAACACCACACTTACGAAAAACAAATCAAATAATAATCCTGATTAATTTCACATCACATTTTAAACACTTGAAGATTCTCATCGGTGTTAGACACATAACAGACATCGCACTGACCTTGCCTTTTAGAAAAAAGAAATGTGAAATTGTAAAAGTTAATACCACATTAAACCGACTATGAAAAGATAACCTTTTGCCATGGATTAAACTTGCACAATTACTTAATCGAGTGTTGTGCTGTTACACGAGATAATTTTTAGAACTGACGCAACAAAATGCATGAATTTACTCGACTCGAAACTCGAAAGGAAGCAGCTGTCAATGGTTGAATACTCAGAGAGCGTACGGGGCGACGAGATGGCGCGTGACTGTCACGCCGTCGTGGGAGAGGTTTGGAGGTTGGCTATACTGGTGGCGAGCTCTGTACTGGACTTTTAAATGTCAGATTAAACTGCTTAATTCCAGGCGATTTGTTTATGAATACTTTCCTCTATTTCAAAACGTGTTTACATAGAATTTTTATTGTGTTTATATGTATTTTGCCTTGGTTTCCGGAATACCTTGTCGACTTCCGCAAGTTGGCATCCGGCATCATTGGAGTGAACTTCATACAAGGAAACTTACACTTCTCTTTTTGCTAATATCCTTTTTTTAATTTCAGGCAATTTATTTACGAATACTTTCATTCAATTCATAAAGTATTCATATTTGAATTCCTTGTATTTATAAGTATTTAATATTAGTGTCCGTAATGCCTAAGCATTTTTTGCAAGTTGGTCACCTGCATCAGTGGAGTGAACTTTGTACAAGGATAGAAAAAACTCATTTTTTGCTAATATCCTTTTTCGAAATTTTCGGTAAACTTGAAAATTTATACAATTTATTTTCAACTACTAGTAAAAAACGGAAATGAAAATTTGTATATATCTTTACGATTTAGGGGGCGTCCATGGATCACGTGAGGTTTTTAGGGGGAGGGGGGTTTGACAAAATATCACGTGGGGAAGGAAGATGTATAGTAAGATATCACGTGTATTTATTTTTTAACTGATTTCTTTAAAAAAAAATGAAACACTTTCAAAAAAAAAATAAAAAAATGTACAGTTTTATGTATATTTGTATTTTAAAAATACACGTGATGTTTGGTGGGGGAGGATGCGTAATTTTGAATATCACCATGTATCACCAAGGGGGAGGGGGGTCCTAAAATCCATATAAACTCGCTCACGTGATTATTGGACGGCCCCTTCTGATCTTCTGAACATTTTGCATGACTTAAAAAAAAATAGAATGAATGTGTGTGTAAAATCTATGTATGTATGTCTATATGTCTGTTTGGATATATATTTTCGTTTATGATTTTGAGAACGCGGATCAAACGATTTAAATTATTTAAAGAATATAAATTATTCAAGGAATTATTCATTCATTGGCAAAAGGCAGATTCAGCCTGGTTCAGCCATTTCTAAGATATGGGGCAAAAATGCGAAAAATGTCTAATCAAAGATAAATGAAGAATGTCAACTCAGTTTTTGATAAATCGGAGTCGCACAATTTGAATGACTCAAAAAATATGTCATTTCTAAAACTCACCTCTAAAACAGCTGTGCAGCGCAATCGCTTTGAAAAAAATCAAAATTTCCAAATTAAAAAAAAATTTTTAATAATTTCAGAATAAAATATAAGGATTTTATAAATATTCCAAACTTCTTAAAAAATAATTAATCCAAGATTTTCGAACAAAGAAACTTCTAACAATCAGGATTTTCCAGCTTACCAGGATTCAATACCAGGATAATTCAATAACGATCAGTAAAGCATAAGATCTCTACAATATTATGTTAAGATTTTTTTTCTAATCTTCAAGTAGTTGCCTCCAACTTTTAATAGGGATGGGATGATTGTTGAAATCATTGGACTAAGCGCAAAGTTGATCTCTAGTTCTCTTCAAGTGATCTCCAAAGCAACACTTGCTTCTTGAGCCAAGGTGCGCTTTGATATCTAATATATAAATTAATATTTTTAAACACGTTTGAAAAAAATAATAAAGTATACAAACGAGTACAATTTGTTTTTCCTCGCAAAAATGTCGCGGACGAGTTCAATTTTCATTATTATTGTGTTGTTCGCCAACGTAATTGAAAGCTCAGGTAAGTGTAAACTATTAGATCTTTTAGAAATACTGAAAAAATTTAAGATTAGATAATCTAATCTAAGTTTGTTTTTTTAAGTAAATTATTATTTTTGTAATTATAAATATGCAACAGTAGATTGATTATCAAACATATAGATACAGTTGTTATATCACTAGAAGCAAAATATTTAAAATGCAAAATATTTAGCTGTACACATTTAATTTATTTAAAAAATGAATTAAATTTTATACACAAATTTTATCAGCAATACAATGTTCCGTTTGATATTTTATCCATTCATGATTTACATTATAATGGTTATTATTATTATTGACATAATATTTGGTAGTTTTATTTAAGAACAATCATCTAAAATAATTTATACCAAATTCACAAAATACAGTTTTTGTATTCAAATTTCAAAGCCAATATTAAGTTATTGTTGGTAATATAAATTTTAGCTGTAGGTACATTATGGCATTTTCTTATTATGCATTATTAAAGTTGCTGTAACAAATTGGTCGGCACGTTAAGATTGGATGATTTGCATCGTGGACATAAAATGCACAATAATAATAAATAAATGATACATTCTCGATAAAAGAGTGATATCGTGCCTATGTACTGAAAATGATTGCAATCGAGCTTTCAATATTATTTTCTCCATGATTATATACATAAATATGTATGTCTTCGATTGGAATTTTACTAGCACTCGTTGAATTAACCGTTTTCTTTAAGCCTGAGAGGTTCTGGCAAAATTTTTAAAATATCATTTGAATGTAATCAAAATTTTAAATATCTTTGTAATTTTCCAATAAATATCTTTATTGAAATTTAACAAATATTCAAACTTTTTATATAGAGAACATAACTTTGAACTCAAGAATCTTCGGGGTGATCGACTTGATGCAAAATACATAAACTAATTTAATTTACCAAAATTGCCAAAACCACCAAATTATAATCATAAAGTATTTAAATGAGCGTCATATATTTTGCATTTAAAAAAAACGATACTAAAGAGCAGCATAAAAATAAATAAAACAAAATTTATGATATCTGCAAAATCTGATTTTGATTCCTCTAAAATCATGCAAAATTGTTCATATTACACTCCCATTGTTCTACTGACTGTAATTTCGATTCAAAAATTTAATTTTTAAGTAGGTTAACGATGAAATCAAATTCTTTTTGTATGTAGCAAACATTTGTTTATTAAATATAACATGACAATAAATATTTAACGATACTATTGATTGTTGCACTTTTATAGGCACATCAATTAAGAAGAGAACGCTATATTGCTATTGGAAAATACCTATTTCAACAAATTTAATTTAACACTTAAATTAATAATTAAACTAAATTGATATTTAACAGTGGAAATAATCAAATTTACAACTTTATAGTTAGGCATTTTGTGAAAGTGTAGGATTAGTTTTTATTTATCAATGAAAAGTGTGTCAAATAAATCTTGAGAAATTTCCCAGAAAATATAGATTTGTCTATTTTAGTTTATTAGATTTTCAACATGCTTAAGTCGGCTTCTTTGAGCTACCTTGTAAAGACAAACCAAGATAAATAAATGTTAAACGCGCTAAGTAATAAAATTAAGTACACATTTGCTTAAACGTTTAAGAAATTTTCATTCAATTTCATATTTCTAACATTTCAGTATACTTGAACAACATAAACCAAAAGAAAAAATAGACAATATTTTGTTTAAAATCTAAAATTACAATAATTAGGGGTTTCAATATAGAATAAAAAAATGATTAATAGGTGATTGGATACAAATTTCCAGATGACTAAATTATAAGGAAGTAAAAAATAATTGCTCAATTCGTTTACAAGTTAATCTTCTTATTTTTTCAGATGCCTTCGAATTATGTTTTAACAAGCCGCCCTCAATTAAAAATGGATTTTATACTTTAGAAAACCAAACAAGTGTTCTATATAATTGTAATAAGAATCACAAGATGAATGGGCCATCTAGAATTTCTTGTATAAATGGTAATTGGACAGAACCTCCTAATTGCTTAGCAGGTAATATAAACATATACAAATCTATAGATATATGGTAATTTAAATGCATCAATGTAAACAAAAACATTTCGACTTTAAGGATTGTATGAAGAATAAGTATAATTACAATATGTCACAATGACTACAAATATTTATTGCATTAGACAAAAAAAATGCTTACTCATGTACATTTACTGGTGCCTTTTAACACTTTATATTGAATTAAAGAGTTTCAAGAGTATTTTAATAAAATTCTCAAAATTAGGCAATTTTAAATAAGTTATCATCATTAGCAAATATTTTATTATTTATGAAATGGAATTCCATAAAATTAATGTTTTACCATACATTGCTAATATGAACGGTTATGAACTAGCTAGGAATAAATAGCACAAGGCCAATATATTTTAGTCTTTCTTTTGCAAATTGATATTTATTGTCAAGTAAGATGCATCTTAATTATTATTAATAAAATATTGAAGTGTTGCAATTAATATGCCACCAATACGAACTTTGCACAATTAGTTTAGTTGCTTTGAAATATTTAGGCCAAAGTTAAAAGATTTGGTGACCATAATTCGGAGGTCTCACCACTTGAAATAATTGATAATTGATCTTTTTTTTAATTTAGAATAACATTTTCTTAGTCAAACTTTCAATTGATTGCAATCCTAAAAATCTGCTGTCCATATCCAGCATTTTTGAAAATTGCTCCAACAATTTCAATAGTCAACATTTATCCATTTGATTAATACCTCTAAGACTCTTAATTGCAGAAGCAAAAAGTTCTTTACCTTTGAACTTTTCAATATGCAAAATGTATATGTGTAAACGCTATGAATAATAAATGCATTATTCGAACTCGTAACATGATTAAAGTAACAACAAATTATAAGGTAGCTAATAATGTGTTAAAAGACATCAGAAAATTTAAATGGGAAAGCACAGCATTTCTGCCTAATGCAATAAATACATGTAGTCATTGTAATTATATTTTGGTGAATTGTTTAGATTCTAAATAGATATAAATAATTGTAGAAAAAAGCACTCAAGCACTCAACGTTTTGTTCACTCGTAAGTTCAATTTTAAAAATTTACAACGCATTTTATATATTTAATTATTTGCTTTCAATTCGTTTTAAAACACTTTGCTAAATTTATATAATAATGATTAAAATAAACACATAAGCTATTAGAAATCTTTCTTTACTTTTTAATGTGTTTTTAAACACTCTGTTTAAATTAATGACTCCTATTATAAATAAATTTCTTGTACTTAGTGTATGTAGTGTTAATGAAACTTTAGTAATAATCAATTTCATATAAAATGATTTTTGGCTGATGTATATTTTTTAATATGTTAATTTATTTTATGTTTTCAGATGAATCCAGAATCAAAATTCTACAACGTAGACGAAAGATTCTTCGAGGAAAATTAAGAAAAGTGTTAGAAGATAATACAATAGATGATGAATTCGCAAAATCATTAGATTTGACTTGCGTTCAAAAACAATTGATTCGAGCCCCAGAAATTGCAAATACATTTTCTGTAAAATATTCAAGGTAAATAATAATTGATTTTCTAATATCTAATTAAATTAATTACTATTACAATATACTATAAACTCTATTTCCATTAAGAGTGATCACTATATTATTACCCAACAGACCTTTCTAACTTTATTTCCTTTCATGAGTCGCTTTTAGTTAATAAGATTTGTTCCTTTAATGAAGATAATATGCAACTGTGCACAATATTATTAACTAACTGACAGTTTTATGTGTCATTATTTATGTAAAACATATTGCAGACGAAGACGAAACTCAAAAGTATTTATTACTGCAGTTTACTCTTGTGCAAAAGGTTACGAATTGCGAGATGTCGATAAATTGTATTGTAGCCAAAAACATTGGATTGGGAAACGACCAGTTTGTAAAAGGATCGAAAATAAAGGTAAAGTAAAAGATTTTCTTAAATTTTTAATAAGAATTATAATTTGTCTTCATTAGACACTTAAGAGGCATCCTTTAATCACGTGATCGATTTTTAAGGATTTTTGACCTCTTCTCTCTTGGGGTAATACTTAAAAATGACTTCCCACCCGTAGTGCCTAAAAAATCATAAAATTTTGGATTATAGAAAATTTTAGATTTTTGGAAAATTTCGGATTTTTGATAAATTTTGAATTTTTGAAAAATTTTGGATTTTTTAAAAATTTAGGTAATAAATAAATAAACGTGATATTTACTGGATCCACTCCTCCCCCCATCTGATATTTCATGTTTTTTTGTCAAACCCCGTTTAAGACTCTTGTGATTAATGGATGACTCCTCAACAATTAGGACAATAAATTTATTTATAATTGATTCTAAAAGAATACCCTTTATTAGACCTTATCTAAACAAACAAAATATGAAGAATTATAACATTTAAGTATGGTAAATAGTAGAAAATTTCACAAAAAATAAACTTAAATCAAATTGCATGTAAAAACCACTTATAGTATTTTTTCAGTTAATTCAAGGAGTCTAGACTTTCAAAAAAATGTGCAGTTTAAAGTCGAGCAAAAATAGTTTTTTTCAATTTACGTGAATCATGTGATGGTCATAATGATATTTCTCATTATTCAAAAAGTTTTTAAAGCTTAGGGCGATATTCCAAGTATAACGGTCAGTTGTCATTGGCTGTATAGTTAAATGAAGAATTGTTCTTGATGGATTTTAATCTGGATCAATTGATGCAGTTATAGAATGCAATAGTCAGTTATTTAGATTTGTCTTAGATTGCTAGTCTTGGATTCTCTCTAGTATCGTTATATCATTTGACATAGTTGTTTTGTGTATCGAAAAAAATACGGGAGAAATATATGTATTAAAATAAAAATAATCGAATAATAAATAACGATTGTAAGTATTGCACATTTGTTATACACACTTTACTGAGTATTATATGATTTTGATTTATACGGTTTAGAAGAATTTTTTTACATTTATCTGTTTACCCTGAATAGATCACATTTTTTATATTAAAATAAAAAATAGTAGGTATTATGTACTTGATGCTTGTAAAAAATTAATCACGTAAGTTCCGTTTGTCCTGTGTACTCTTTATTTTCTGCAACTTTGCACATGCAGTATTAACAATATACATGAACTATATAAATATAGGTGTAAACTTCAAAATGTTGAGCTAAGTTGTTCTGACATTAATTTATTAGTTAAGTAATGTATTGACACGCCTTTCTATATAGAAAATCCTACGCACATATAACAATCGATTGTAAATATAAAAGACAATATTTAATTTTCTCATTGCTTCTAGTCTATGCACCGCAAGAACTCATTAAATCATATTACTAATTCACTTACGCATTTTATTTTATAATTAATATAAATATATTTTTACATATCGATATCAATTATAATACGAATAAATCAAAATTCCGTCCAAAATCAATTATATTAGCTTCGTCTATCCCGCGTGACAAATTGAATAATTTGATGGAAGATAAAGTGTCTTTGATTCTAATCAGAATATAGCCAGAGGTCATTATTTATAAACTGCCGTGAAATTCTTTGATAATTTCTATTAGAGACATTTAGAATACGAATTCGGACTAATGGTCTAATAATAAATGGTTTTCACATATGAAAGGAAGGGTATAATATACATGTGACACGAGAAGTAGATCATAAGTAATACTAATTTATATAATGACCAATTTTTATGGACTTAGGCAAGGTAGATCGTTAAATAATTTGTTGCCATCAAGTATACCATTGCCATTAGGTACTAAGTATTGATTTACATGATTTATCTTGCATTATTGAACAAATTTTTGATTGTAAATCACTATAGTAGGATCAAGAGTATTTACACAATCGCTAGTGCAAAATTTTAATATGCTAGCATTTTTACACTCATCTTTATTTCTCATTTTTAATGCATCATACTATTTTGTGTATATTTTTTTAATATTTATTGCAGATATTCCAGAAATTTGTGACCAAAAACTGGCAGGTTGTGAACACAAATGTGTGCTCCAAGAGGGTGAACCAGTATGCGTTTGCTATGAAGGATTTGATTTGGACTTGAACGATGGAAAATCTTGTATTGGTAATCATTAGTATATTTCTTTAAAATGAAATATTTCCACTAATTTTGATTTTGAATTATCTATTACATTTTAAATGTTTCAGACATCAACGAATGCCTTAAGGATAATGGAGATTGTGAAGGCATTTGTGTCAATAAACCTGGATCTTATGAATGTACATGTCCTGATGGATTGCAAGTTGATTCTGTAAATGGGCGTAGCTGCATAGGTAATTTTCTATAATAAATAAGTAGATATTTGTAAAAACGCACATCAACAATGTGGTTTTACTGCTGACTTTTAGAATCATCAAAATTTATATAACTGTGAGCAATAATAGTCAATTCTATCTGAAATTCAACTCATATCATTCAACTATTCTAATAGTAGTAAATTATTATATGAAAATTAAAGAGATCTAGCAAAAAATACTTTTAGAAAGTTTTTTAAATAAAAAAAATTAATTAATGAAATTATTAAGTATTAAACAAAAATTTCTTGTCTATCATTTTTTTCATTGTCTATCAATTATCCTTATAGTTCGATTTAATCTAATTATCTAATTTATTGTTTATTTATTTTTTTCAGATATCAACGAGTGTCTATTAAACAATGGACACGGTCCTTGCCAAGATACTTGCGAAAACACCTGGGGAAGCTACATTTGCAGTTGTGGCCAACGTGAGGGCTTACGCGGAACACGATTGGCCGCCGACGGTCATAAATGTTTGGGCGAAAACGACTGCCTTTCCGGGGCCGCTGGATGCTCCCACAATTGCATTAATTTGCCTTTAGGAAGAGGAGCTTTCTGCACTTGTCCGGACGGTTGGGAGCTTATGGATGATTGGAAAACTTGCCGAGGTAAAAATGATAAAAGATTACTTGAAACCCATATTTTAATACTTAAATTTTTTGGTGTGCATTAAAGATGTAGATGAGTGCAAAAATGCTAGTTTAGCAAATATTTGCTCTGCTGGTTGTATAAATATACTTGGATCATACTATTGCAATGAACAATCAATAATACATGAGGAGTGTTCAGTTGGATTCAAACGCCTTGATAATGGAACATGCGTAGGTAATTTAACTAGCTTATTTTCATCGCATTCAAAATATGTTTCAATAATTATGAATTTTATTTAGACATAGACGAATGTTTAGAAAACAATATCGAATGCCACTATTGCCAAAATACTATAGGCAGTTATCAATGCAAGTGCAACTCCGGATACCAAATGTCTGCTGATGGTACATGTGAAGATATCAACGAATGTTTAGGAGAAAATATTTGCCCCATCAATAAAGTTTGTGAAAATAGTATTGGTAGTTACGGATGCATTTGCAAAACTGGTTATATGAGGGTTGATGATCAATGCAAAAACGCTAATCCATGTGGTACGGACAACGGTGGATGTTCCCATTACTGTGCAACAAATGAACAATATGAAATTCTTTGCAGTTGTCCCGCAGGATACATTTTATCTAAAAACAATAAAATTTGTGAAGATTTTGATGAATGTGCCAACGATATGCACAATTGTGAACAACTATGCATGAATACTAATGGTTCATTTACATGCAGTTGTAGAGGAGAATATTTTTTGCAAAATGATAACACAACTTGCAAGGATATAGACGAATGTGTTGATAATAATGGTGGTTGTTCTCATATTTGCACAAATTTTCTTGATGGATTTGAATGCAAGTGCCCAATAAATTATGAACTTCTTGACAAATATACGTGCAGAATTATAAACAGTTGTTTGGAATGTAATGGAGGATGTGAATATATTTGTGAGTTTAATAAAAATCAAACCACATGCCAATGTCATGATGGTTATACATTACTGGACGATGGTAAATCATGTGCAGACTATGATGAATGTGCACATGACAATGATTGTTCACAAACTTGCATTAATTTAGAAGGATCATATGGATGTACTTGCAATCAAGGGTTCTACTTAGGACAAGATAATAAAACCTGCATTGATATTAACGAATGTTTGATAGACAATGGTAATTGCTCCAATTCATGTGTCAACACCTTAGGAAGCTGGAAGTGCGAGTGCGATTTAGGCCATATGTTATCCTCAAATAATCTAACATGCATTGATATTGATGAATGCATTCTTCAAAATCCTTGTACACATGATTGTGTAAATAAAAAAGGCGGTTATGATTGTATTTGTCCTAAAGGATATACTTTATCAAATGATATGGTAACTTGCATCGATGTTAATGAGTGTTTGCTAAATAACGGAGGCTGTTCACAAATTTGTGAAAATAATTTAGGCTCATACAATTGCAAATGTTATAATGGATACAGTTTATCTAACAATTTAAAGTCTTGCTTAAGGCAAAATAAATGTTTAGAAAAACCTTGTTCTCAAAGGTGCAGAGTCATCAATAACGAAGCAAGTTGCTATTGTAAGAAAGGATATAAATTACTATCGGATATGGTAACTTGTGTGGATATAGACGAATGTGAATTCCAGAAATTCTCCAGAATTTGTGAACATATTTGCATCAATGAAGAAGGCGATTTTAAATGTGCTTGCAACTCTGGTTATAAATTATCAACAAATGGCAAAAGTTGCCAAGATGTAAATGAATGCCAAAAATATCCTAATTTGTGTGAACATCAGTGTGTGAATGCAATTGGCAGTTATAAATGTTTGTGTCCTGAAGATCATGTGGTGCTACCAACTGGCGGTTGTATGAGTAAGACCTCATTCTTGGAAAAGTAACACTTTTAAAATATCATAATAATATAATAATTACAGATTAATAAAACTATCAAATACGTTTTCAGAACAAGAAAAAAAATGTACACAATTAAGCTTCCCGGAAAACGGGCGAATAGATTGCGTCGAAGAAAACTTTGTTCTTAAATGCTCAATAACTTGCACAGACGGCTATGTACTTTTTGGAAAATCAGAACTTTACTGCAACCAATCAATTGGAACATGGAATACTGATACAAATATCGAATGTATTGGTGAGTTTGATTAAAAATATATTTGCACCACATCAAACACTATTTGATTTGATTATTTAGTACCTACAACGTGTCCAGATTTACCAAATTTAGAACATGGAACATTTTATCCCCAGAGCTGCAACTCAGGTAAGCATATTCCTGGAGACACATGTTACTTAGAATGCAAATCAGGATATAAATCATCATATAACAAAGTTATCATTTGCATGAAAAATCACGAATGGAATTATAACACATCACTGATTAGATGTAATAGAAAACAAGGTAAGATAAATATAAATTAGGCCTTTAATCTTGAATACAAATATTATCAAATATTTCGTAGATGGTTTGACTCCGTTTATTATTTGTCCAGAGGATATTAATGTACAATTAAAACCTCATCAACAAATTGCAAGAAATGTATGGATATCAAGACCGAAATCCAATGTTGATTGGTGGAAGTAAGTTGAAATACATTCCATACATTGATTAAAAAATATCAATTACTAAGAATTATTACTATTATAGATACGTGGATTCTTATCCACCGTGGGCAAAACAACTTGTAGGAAATTTTGAACCCGGAAAAACTCTTCTCACGTTCCGGGCGAGAACACCAGCAAGTTCAGAAGTTGCTGTTTGTAGATTTGCAGTAAACGTTAGAGGTAAATGTATTTATATTAATCTTACCTTAATATTGAATCCAGTTTTATGTACTTCAACAATTTTTAGTTATGGAACCATTAACGGTGTTACGATGTCCTACTTCATTTGAGGTCCAACTGAATCCAGGAGAAAAATCCAGGAGTGTTATTTGGCCTGTTCCACAATTTCAACCAACACAGCAGATAATGGACCTTAAAACATCACATGTAAATTATTACAAATATCTATCATAAATTTTATTAATATTTGATGAAAAAACGGATTACCTTTTATATGAGTTTTAAATAAATAAAATTTAGGCACCAGGAACTCTGCTGATTTCTGGACTCCACCATATCCGATACGTAGCAACTGATTTTATAGGAAACAAAGCAGAATGCACTTTTACCATAAACATAAGAGGTAAATTAAATAACAGATTACTTACGATACACATTTATTAAAATTTTATTTAAATTTAATATATACTACTTAAACACTTACATAAAATCCTATTTCAATTTAAATATTTCATTGACGAATATAACATCTAAGATTAATATTTTACATAACATGTAAAAAATTTAAAAATAAACTTAATATATTTATAAAATTTATATAATCAGCCTTATTAGTGAATATTAGTATTTGGCAATTATGTTTAATAAAAACTGTAAATTGTCGTTACAGATAGAAGAGCAATTCGTGACATTCAACAAGTACGTATAAAATTCAAAAATCGCGTAATAATTTAATTTTTAAAATAGTAATATAATTTTGTATGTCAATAGTTATCTGGTACAAGATATAATTTATATCTTATATGCGAAAATAAATCTCCCCGAAAAATCTCTGCTTTGAAAAATGTAAGTATTGAAATACTTTGATTAATGGATTTCAACAATTTATTTCTAAGACATATTTTAAAAACTGATCAAATTACTCGCAATTTTATCTTATTTTGTGATATTAATTTATCGAGTATTTTTTCATTTTGGAATAATTAAAATCAATTTCATTTTGCAGATCAAAAGAACTCCAAAAGGATGTGCAGTAAGACGAATACGAAATTTCCAGGAAAAAAATTTAAATGATCTACACTAACAAGAAATTGTTAAAATTGTATACGATAAAAAATAAATAAATTACTATTTTTACAGGTATAAAATAGGATTAGAATAATGCCAATATTTGGAAAACTAATATAATGGACCAATAAGATGCAACGATAATCTTACATATCTAGATATTTGAAAAAAAATTACTGTTTTAAAATTAGGCAAGATTTCATAATAATGAAGAATAGATACTCACTTTCATTAAATAAAATTTTTTATCATATAAATATGCCTTACGATAACGATAATTACATATAATTGAATACTTAAATTATTTTTATAACTACAGATGAAGATAAAAATGTAAAACATAAATGACATAAGTAGAAATATATGAATACAATTAAATTATTTTATGAAAAATGATAGGTAAGTTAGCTTTAAATATGTGCTTTGTAGAAGGTGCATGTTTTTAGATATTCAATTCTAAGGAAGAGTAAGTTTCTGAACCTGAAAATAAAAAAATAAATTCAGAAATTAATAAAGATATAGTTATTTTTAGGAGTAAAAGAAGTAGAATCCCAACAGATATCACATAAGGAGCAGGCGAATGCAACGAAATCAATATCCACATTATATCTTCTATAAAGAACCAACCAAAGAAAAAATAATTCAAGATGTATACATGCATACCTCATGTTTTAGTAAAACTGCAGAAAGCCATTTAAAATGATCCAAAAAAATATAAAATTGAAACTCATTGTTATTACTCACAAAATAATGTACTTTTACTCTTCTCGACTCTAGTTCTAGTATCACTTTAAATATTATTCTCAAGCTGTATATTGTTTATTAAACTTTATTCAAAATATTTCCACAAAATGAAATTTCAATAAAAATATTTCACTTATATGTGAATATATTATAATATGCCACACACACGTATTTCACAATCCATGCAATTTTAATCTTAACATTCCTCTTCTATTCTATCGCATTTTTCATCGAAAATCAATCGCGTACATTGGAGAAATAAAAGCCCAAAGAAATTTATATGCAATTTTGCAAATCAAAGAATCCTATAAAACTTTCTCAATAGTTGCCGACAAAAACATTCTTACATTTATAAACAATCATGCAGACATAATAACATGCTGGACACATAATTTGCACATGGTTTGCATTTGAAGATTTACACAACAAGAATAACAATCGAGAAACAACCAGATAAAATATTATTGTATTTAAGAAAATAACATATAATCAAATATGTATGGATATGATATTGTTGATAATCCCATAAAAGAAAATATTTGTAGAAAAAAGACAAAAATTTGCATGCTTTTACCATTGGATACGAGTACAAAATACTTTGGAGACAAATTTTAGTAACATATAGACAGATGTTAGTATTTTAAGAAAAGAACATTGAACGAACAAAATTTATTTTGTACCAAAAATAATGACATAAATAATCTGATGAGTCAATAACATAAAATTGAAAACATAACATATACATAACATGCAAAACATAAAAGCGATATCTAAATTTAAATTATTACACGTAGGTACTTATAATTAACGTTTAGATATATATAAATTAATCGCTATTTACGTATTTATGAAATAGTTAAATTTAATTTAGAAAAATGGACTAATCAGTATTGTTAATCTTATCCGAAATAAGTTATTAAATTCAATTTCTTTAAGAAAATATAGCAGAAATAATTGCTACTGTTACCCCAAGTTAACAATTTGCATATAATTGTTAATAAAAAGTTTTATTATTAAATTTATTTAAAGTTTAATCTAAATTTGATTTGCTAAAGGAATTATAATTTAATTATACCTAAAATGCTGCGAGCGAATAGAATATATAAAACCTATCTGTATTTCCTATATTAATTATACATTTCTAACTTTTAGATGTAATTAATTAAGATAATTATTAAATTATAAATAATATATCAAATGTTGGCAGTGTTTGATTCTTGTTTAAATTAAATAGCAGTTTGTTATAGATTTTTTTGGAACTACTCATAATAAATGCACATGTTTAAACGATTGCCTATAAATTTAAAGAAAATTGACGAAACAAAAAATGAAACCTACGATTTTTAATATTTTGCTTATATTATTCATAAAATTCTTTTATATTATATATGTGGATAAAGAAATTGAATAATTTAAAGTAATTCTATAAATTTTCAACCTATTTAGAGATAAATAAGTAGAAACCGAAGATATGTTTGATATAAAAAAATGACAAGCGCGTCGCCCACTAACTCAATATTCAAACAATTATTTATTTGAGCAAATCAAATAATATACGTTTGCTATCCCTTCGCTTACGTATCAATAAATATTTTTTAAAAATTAATTTAAAATATTTATTATTCTGAATGTTTTTTATGTTTAGGGCCGCGTTTCTTCTTCGGCGACTTACGAATGCATTCTCCCTTATCGTCTCCAGCCCATTTGCCATCATGTTGGCAAACCTGCTGATATGTGCCTTCTAACCGGAAAGCTTTCCGACACCGGACATGGCACTGAGTACCCGGCATGTTCGTCACCCTGCGCCTTCCGGACCGGGTGCGAATGAAACGACCTTTTTTACCTTCAGTGTTGTGCAGAACTACGAAAAAAATGATATGTCTGGTAAAAATAAACTATATTCAATAAAAAGACGCATTCCTAGTTACCAGGATTTGCACTTGGCCTTCTACATTCCAAGAACCCATGTTTGGGTGGATACAAAGCCGGACAGGCAATATCAATAGCGCTCACTGAAAATATATAATAATGCCATGGTAAAAGATAAAATATTGTAATTTTGGGTTTTATCCATAGTTACCAACGCATTTTACGCCATCAGGTCCAAAAACATAGCCTGGTTGACAAGCACATCTAAAACTACCTTCTGTGTTGATGCAACGTTGGGAACATCCTCCATTATCTTCTAGACACTCGTCAATATCTATCAATCATAAAAAAATCAAGAAATAGTCTAAGGAATTAAGGAATCCTCAAAAGAATCATTTTAGATAGTAATTTTTTTTTTTTACTAACCGACGCATTTCAGACCGGTATCATCAGGCTTCATGCCATCTTGACAAATGATTGTTTTTAATTCTGCTGGTTGATCATTGATCACAGAAATTTCCAAGCATCTATAATTGCCTTCTAAATTTTCACAAGTTCCAGGATCACACTTTCTTTCGGGTGATTGGAGATCAGGATCAGCGCATTCGTCCACATCTAAAAAAAATATTAGAAAAATTTCATAGAACAGGAAATTTATAAATACAGTCATTTTTTTAGTTCACTAGACCTAACAAACTAACTTTCCAATTTTGTAGTAGTGTTAGATATTTAAGCAGTAGATTTTCATTCATGCCATTATATTTCTGTTATTACCTTTGCATGTTTTCCAATCATCTTGAAGAGTCCATCCCTCAGGGCAAGTGCAAAAAGCACCCCGTCCTAGAGGCAAATTAATACAATCGTGTGAACAACCTGCAGCACCAGACAAGCAATCGTCTTCGCCTGCCAAACAACTGTGGCCATCAGGGCCAAGCCTGGTTCCTCGTAAACCATCTCTTTGGCCACAACTGCAGGTATAACTGCCCCAACTATTTTCGCAACCGTCTTGACAGGGACCATGGCCATTGTTTAATAGACATTCATTGATATCTAATAAAAAATCAATCAAATCAATTCAATATTATTAGATAAATCATGTATAGAACAAAAATGTATATTAATAATTCTTTTATTACGTACCAATGCAATTCTTCTTATCATCCCCCAATCTGAGTCCAGGAGGGCAAGTACACGAAAATGATCCAATCGTGTTGATGCAATCATTCTCACACCCACCGTTGTTTGAAGCACATTCATTTATATCTAAATATGAAAACGAAACAAAAGTATTCCTATACGAGTTAACTAAATATTTGTATTGTGATAATAATTCAAGTGTTCTTAAAATAGAAATATATTCTAACAATACATGTCGCTTTTGGAAAAAGCGAAAGTTTTTTAACAAAGGTACTTGAATATGCAGATTTTAATAACTCGGACACTTAATGGAAAACTTTCTTTGTATTATATTCTTATTATTAGGAGAGAAAACAGTAAGTTGTTTACTGTTTATGAATTGTTTGTCTAATTTTTTACTTAAAAATTAACTTTATAATTCTAATTATTATTACATAAGTTCCATATAGTTTACCTCTGCATACATTTCCTTCTAATCGAAATCCTTTATAGCAGCTGCAGACTTCTTCAGTACGATTGTATACAGCACATAGATGATCACAATTGCCACGACCACCATAACAAGGAGGTTTCTTAAAACCGACATTTAAATCGTTGCCTAATTCAGATGGATCCTCAATTTCGACACATCCAGGAACCGTTCCGAGCCATTTCTTGTTCCGACATATCATCCAAGGATGGGACGTTGAAAGACGTAAACCTGGTTTGCATTTGTATTCTGCCACCATGTACACGAATTTGTAAAACTCTTTCCTAAATAGAAAATAAATAATAAAAATTTAAATAAATTTCAGAAAGTTTGTACTGAAAATGATTCTGATTTTAGGGCATTTTTATTATCTTACCTTCTATAAGTTATATGAGCTCCAATAGATTCTGGTGCCAGAACAAATGGATTTAAACAAGATAGATCCCCGAACCAAACCTCATCCTTGGTGATTTTATTGCTCATTGTCGTTTGAGATAAATAATTTTCTGTGACCGGTGCTCTTTCAGTAGTTGTTGCTTGCAATTTACCACTAACAACATCATCTACAAAAGCATTTACAATAAAACCTGATCCATCTTTCATTCGTTGATCGCCAATTGGATTTTCTTGTCGAACAGTATTGGAATTTCCGTTGAGAAAATTATTGTGATGTTTTTTCTTTAACTTATGTGATGGTTTGTGACCCGGTGTACTTTCCTGAATATCGGAATTTGGAAGATGATTTGGGTGGGCAGTTGAAGATGCTTCTGCTTCAGGTGTAGGACTATAGTCAACGGTTTGGGTAGTACTGGCTATGTGTTGAATTAACGGTTCTTCAGTGATAGATGCTGGCGTTACCAAATCATCAGACGACCAAGTTGTAGTCTTAAATTTCTTCTTTCTGTTCTTGCGCTTCAAAGCTAATTCTAATCTTTTCTGCCTTTTCTTCTCCAACCTTTCAAGTCTTTCTTGACGTAAACGAGTTCTTTTAAGTCTTCTTTCAGTAGCTTCAGCACTTAATTCTTTTTCATTGCTTTTCCCACCAGATTTCTGAAGTTTTCTCTTGCCTTCTTTTTTCTTATTGCCTTTCTGATTTCCTGGTTTTCCCTTACGTTTCGGTTTTGGAGAAGCATCGTCAGTGCCGTTAGTATGTGGTATCACTTCTACTTTGGTAGCCGTTGAGTATTGTAATTCTGGAACCGTTGCTCGCACTGTGGTGACTGGAAATGAAGTTGTGGTTTCATGATGGTATTCGATGAAGTTTTCCGTAGATGGTGAAGGCAGTGGCATTAATGGCAATTTATTCCAACTGCAACAAAATTAGTACTTAGTTGGAAATGAAGAACTAATAATATATTCGCACAAAAAATAATATCCAATTATAATACCCCAAATACAATTTACACCAAGGAATCAATTGTATTACACCTAATACATTTAAAACCATTAAACATTTAAATACAATTCGTACTAGTAATATATTTATCACCATTTCTATGAAGTTTGCGTTCCAGTTAGCACTCTATTTAATTTATTGTCTGTGACAAATATAGGTTAAGTACAAGAGGACATTAATATATTAATGCGTCATCGTATTGATAGTTTTTAAATTAAAATATAAAGCTTCTTGAGTATAGGAAAAAATCAGGGCAATGTATAGACAAAAAAAACATGAGTCATCTGGTTGTTTTAATAAATATAATCTTACTTGAAAAGTTTTGGTCGGTTGTTGTTTTTCCCTTGGTTGATTTTCCAGGTGTGAACTGACCAATTTGCGAACGTGCGAAAACCTCGTGTTGCGGTCTTCGAAATATGATACACCTTCCGAATGCACCCCTGAAAAGAAATAAAAAATACTAAAACATTTACAAATAAAACAGAAATCTCATGCTATATATTTTTAGTAATTTTCCATTAAGTAAATATTCATTAAACGCAACAACATAAATTAATTAAATTTTTATGAAAATGATTTATCCATTAAGTTTTTATATAAAGTATATCTATGTCAATTTTAATTCATGACATTGAGTAGGACCACCAGTTAGTTTCGGCGTTCTTATAATATTAACTTTTATTAAGATCCAATAAATAATGATTTGGCTCTGTTGTTCATTGACTCCGACCATGTCAAAGAATGCTGCCTTGACCCTTTTAGTGTAAACATATTAATTTAAATATCTATTTTTTGCGACATAAATAAATAAGACGAATTTTTATCAATCTTTTTATAATTGAAATAAGTCTCAAAGAACAAATACTATCCTTTAATTTGTTTGTTCCCATAAATTTATAGTAATTTTGGCTTAGCATTTTTATAGATTTTAGTTGATCAGAAATCAAGAAGGAGGTTGGAAACGTAGCAAAACTATGAAGCAAAACTAGGAAATAAATAAAATGCATTATTTCTAGAAATAGTATGATAAAATACGGCCCTTGGTGTGTAGAGATTTATTGTTTTATAATTACTCAAATGTCAAGAAGGGAATTTGTGTTCCCGTTGACATGTAACGTGTATCTTAATGGAGGTCAATATGTTTAAAGCATGGGAATAATTTTCTCTCGATTTATTATACCACGAAGGTGTTGATCTATATAAATTTGAATTAGATTTTGTAATAGATATATGGGGATATGTTAAGCTTTTATATTAATTAAAATTCAGCCGAAATCTTCAGGCCAATTTACCAAATAAAAATTGAAGAAACTCATATAAAATTTAATATGAAGACAGAAAGTTTAAGAATTCACTTAGAAGAAAAGTCATGTAAATTGAAGAGTAAAAGAAATAATCAAAAATCGTTTTTTCTTTCAAAGAGTTAGGAAAATCAAATATTTTAAAAATTCCTATTTTTTTTTCAAGCAAAGTAAGACTATGCATATATAATTTTACCACGCTTATTCGATATGACGCTAAAACTGGTTTATATTTTTTATCGAGTGGAATTAGATTAAAAAGTAATAATCGATAATGTTTCTTCCGGTAACGTTCTCAAGAAAACAATTTTTATTTTTCGGTCACGAATATAAAATAAGATACGCTTTCGTTTTTAAGTATATGGGAACCACTAATTCGACAGAGTGTTGCAATATTTTTCTTGCTCTGACTTCTGATCTCTATTAGTGAAACAAACACAAACTCCAGAAATAAATCATATAGACTTGAATTGTTGAGAAAACATCAAATTAGCAATTCTGATTTTCTGGCGAAAACTTAAACTTTTTCTTTGGGCAGTTAACAAGAATTATATTTGACCATCTAATTATCAGAAATCAGAATTATACTAAAATACCATCAATTTATTATTATTTATTAAAATTTATCTTAGTAGCTGCCTGTATCTGATCGAATGTTTCAACAATCTACCTTCACATTGGAATGCTTTCCTTGATTTTTAAAAAATTACCATTCCAACTTCCACGGAAAACAATTAAACAAATGACCGCAACAAATTTCAATAACAATTAAACCACGTACAACAATAGGCCAGAATGCACTTCTGTCGTATGATCTTTGTATTATATGATCAAGTAACCCAGTTTAGCCTGGAACAATGTTGCATTAGTATTCTACAATTGCGTCCTTTTGTTAAGAATTATGGATGTTGAGTTTATTTAACACTTAGCCGATAGATTAACGGATGCTAAAACAAATACCGTCGATTCGCGGAAATTTATTTTATGCTGTTCTATTCTGAAGTATCATAATAATAGTACTTGGGATATAAAACGATGTATATTTTATTGCAATTTGAACACTACGGTTTCAAACGGAACAACCATAATAAGCAATAAGAGTTGTACTATACATTAATGTCGCCGGAGAGCAAACTTAATCATAAATATACATATAGATGTTTATCTGTGTTGATTTCACACCGACAACTTACACACAGATAAAAACCTTGAAACAAGTAAATTAAATTTTTATAAAAATCCAAATCCAATTCGACAATTAATAAACTCAGAAAGTTTTCACTGTTTCTGTCTTAACTAAACATTTAAAATTAAAGTGACCAAATTACCAAACAAAAATATATCCAAAATATTCATTTGGATATGGTTATGAGGCTTGTGCAAACTTGTCTAATCATTTGCACAACATATGAACACTAAATACAGAGTTGATATTATAGTAAAATGGTAGATAACTAAATAGCAGCCTTGTAGGTTCTTCCTCCAAAGAAAATTAAGTGAGCATCTAAATTTACATTCCGAAATGAATTCGTTCTATTATACACAATGCAAGTTTTAGTATATGATTTATAACAGACACGTGCATTCTGGAAGAATATGAGGCTTGGCAGCTTAATGGGAAATGATTATTAGTTAACAAGACGCCGCTCTATACAATGGAATAAACGCGATATAACAGGTAGAGCTTTAAAAAAAAACACGACATATGATTTAAAATAATAAACTAGTGGGGTGGCATCGTGTCTTAAGGGGGTATTCTACTGTAGAATTTTGAAAAAATCGAAAAAAATTTTTTTTCATATTTTCAAAGTTTAGTTATTCAAAAATATGTCATTAAAAGGATTTTTCAAAATTACTATTATTTCCTGAGTTATATCCGTTTTAGTGACGTGGCCTCGGTTCGGGTCTGACCGAGTCTCAAAACTTGAACGCGTTTTTCTCGAAACTACTTTTTTCGAGTTGGCGGTAAGGATATCTCGAGTTCTAATGAACCGATTTACTTCAAATTTGGAGAGAATCTTCTCCATACATCGCCTTATCGTATGGACCTCGCCCAAAACTATAACTTTTCATTTAGTATTTTTAAAAAATTCGGAATTGTTAAAAAAACATGAAAAAAAATATTTTTTTTTCAAACTGCCGCCATTCAAACAAAAAATTTTTTTTTAACTTATCCAAGGTTCATACGATAGCGGCATCTATTATAATTCAGAATCCATCTATTTTTTATATTTCAAATCACCAGGAGGGTTGGAATCATGTACGCCAGGACACCCTCTTTTTTTGGGAACCCCCACTTTGACTGCTCATAACTTTGTGAATTTTAATTATTTTTTTTCAATATTTGTTTTATGTAATAATAAAAGATCAATTAACAAATGATGAAAAAATTTATAGTAAAAATATTATTTGTTTCCTTTATACAGCGCTTCAAAAACCGGGCGAAATTCATGTCTCTACAGTAGAATACCCCCTTAAGGCAAATTGCTGGAACTTCCCGTACCGTAACGAAATGTTCGAGGAATACTGAACGTTTTCAAATAGATTATTATTAACATTGTAACATTGTCAAATATTTATAAGAATTATATAAACTGAATTGCAAAGTTAAAATTATTTGTTTAAAGTATATTAGAACAATAGTCAAAATTAAAAATAAAATCTTAATTATTTTCGATATACAAAAAAATTTTTTGTGAAAAAAAAGTTGAAACAATTTTGTTTCCAAAATCAATTATTTTGTTAAGACAAGCAGAAAGTTCTTTGAATCATTTAAATCGGACGCTTAGTTCTCTGCAACCGTGCAAATTAAAATCACATGCAATATTCATGTTGTCTGTATTTTCAAATTTCTATGCGTCGATTTATAAACCAATTAGCAGTAGATTTAAAAACTGTCAGAGTGATCATTTTCAAAACATTATACCTTTAATTGATTTAATCAAAGACAGTTTACTTTCAACGTATGTGGCGCTGATAAATGATGCTCTATAAATCCGGTTTCAGCATATTCACCACATTCTAATGTGTTCCGTGATTTGATCGCTTGTAATGTGATTAAAATGTTATCTAAAATTGTATAGAGAAACGATAAAAGGAATATAAATGATGGCAAAGGGACTTCTCTCGCCGTTATTTTCGCCTTGTGGCATTCTGTATATCGTTTGCGGCGATGGAGATCACTCCGCTTGATATCACTCCAATAACGATATCGTTTTCTGTCTAATCAAAGCGCTGGTCTAATCAAAAGGGAACGCGAGCCGTGCGATCGCTCCAAGCGCCATACGCAGCAAGTAGTAGAGACGATAGACGGAAGGCTGGGGAACGTTCTGGTCAAACATACTATATTATTAATCACACTACATATATTGTTTACCTATATTCTTCCAAACCGAGGAAATAACACCAAACTAAAATACGGAGACTTTTAAAATATTGATTTTATACCAACAATACGAACATACAATGACACCCGGGCATCAGGGCGTCCGGGTTTCCAGTGATGAGAATATGGAGATAAAACATCAAAAAGTAAGCATAGTTTTGTTTTATTTTATTTGCTTACTTGTGTATTTGTATTCCTGTCTACCAGTAGAACCAGTATTGTAGATCTGCATTGAACAGATCTGCAATGATCAGTCCAGACCGAATGTCAATTTTTCAACATTTTTTCCAGCTACTTCTATAATCACTAGAACTGCTTCACGAAAATGTAACCAATTCTTCAATACGTAAATACAAATGAAATGTTTTTTGATCCAATGACCATTGAATCTGTCTTTTCCAAAAACTAATCAGCACGTGCCCCTTCAATAAGAATCGAATGTTTTTTTTGAAAAATTTAAATCGGTTTGTCCGACAGTTCGTCTCTTTAAATCGTAAATAAAACCTAATTCAAATCTTAAATCTCTATTCTCTGTCCATTTTCCCAGATTTTTAGAATATAAAAATATATCGTCCGTCGGCTCCCCATCGATAATTTGTGGGTTGGATCCATAATATGTCTCTGTCATAGGAATTATGATGCATAAAGAGAACATCAGCAACGTGGCTTGATCGGCACCGCAATTAAATTAAATCTGTAGACGTCATAGCGACGAGAACTCGACAATAATGTCGTAATAATATACATTATTAAT